ATATATATATATATATACGTATAATTACAATAATAAATATATAAAATAATAAAATTAATAAATAAAATATTGAAACAAAATTTTATATAAATTATATATTCATATGTAATTTCATTCTAGCTGTATTTTGTTATTAATATATATATATATATTGGTAACAAAATACACTTAGAATGACATTCTATATATATCTATCTATATATAAAATACAAATAACCGCAAATATATATATATAGATAAATACATATAATTACATAAAAGATTACATTAGTATACACGTAGAATTTAAATACCTATAAATGCATATATATTAAAATTCTACATGTATATTTAAGTAATCTTTTAACATAATTATGTGATTTGATTAATTAAAATTTGATTGACATGCCTGACAACACAGGGAGAAAGTGCAGAGAATTTAATTCGCAAGCACTATATTTGACCCTGTAACTCTCCAAGACACCATAAAACCTGTACATAAGGGGTACTGTTTTACTTGGGAGACTTCGCTGAACTCAAATATTAGTGCTTCAAACTGGTAAATTGTATTACAACGATGATATTTTAAGTAAAAGTGAAGTTTCTTGCATTTTTTACAAACGAACTGCACTTGTATGGACTATATTATTGTTGTAATATGTTTTACTGTTTTAAAACACTAATATTTGTGTTTAGTGAAGTCTCCCTAGAATAACAGTACCCCCCATGTACAGGTTTTATGGTGTTTTGAAAAGTTAGCAAGTCACATATAAGGCTTGCATTTCATTTTTTTGACATTGAAATATGCCAGATTGGTTATGTTGCCTTTGAGAGCGTATGGTAGCCCAGGAATGAGAATTACCTCCATGATGGCATACCATTTGCAAAAGTAGACAACCCAAGGTATTGCAAGTGGGGTATTGTCAGTCTTTCTTAGTAGCCACTTAGTCACAAACACTGGCCAAATATAATTTTTTTGCTGTTTTCACACAAAAACAAATATGAACGCTAACTTTGGGCAGTGTTTGTGACTAAGTGGCTACTAAAAAGGACTAAACATACCCCACTTTCAATACCTTGGGTTGTCTACTTTTTCAAATGGTATGCCATTATGGGGGTAATTCTCATTCCTGGGCTACCACACCGTCTCAAAGTTAACAATACTAATCTGGCAAATTTCAATTTGAAAATGGAACATTCTATATTTGACCCTGTAACTTTCCAAAACACCATAAAACCTGTTAATGGGGGGTACTGTTGTACTCGTGAGACATTGCTGATTACAAATATGTGCATAAATTCTGCAGTAAATCTTATTTTCTCACATTTTATTAAATTTTATTCATAATAAATTATGTTCCATATATGAATAGTTAATGATAAATTAAAGCCCTGTTTCTCCTGAACAAAATGATATATAATAAGTGTGGGTGCACTTAATGTGAGAGCGGTGAATAACGGTTGAACAGACATATAGCGCAAATTCCAGTTTTTGTTTACGTTTTGTTTTGATCAGATCGAGCACTATTGACTCCGTCCTGAAGGGGTTAAAGGATTATGATTAAGGATTATGTACATCCAGTTCGACCCTTTCTTGCATTTTCAAATACAGCCTAGAGGAACAGACTGTTTGGACCATGAAAGTATGCTGATCAAGAGCCAATGGACTTAAGGGGCACCAAGAGCAACTTGCCAACTATAGCTCACTGTAGTGGTTCGAATGCCTAGAGACCCATGACACAATCCCACAGTCTAATATTAACTGATTTGACATTGTGTCACTGTGGCACAGATGGAGCAGGTCAGTGTCAGGAAGAGACCTGATAATATCAAACCATTATTAAATTGTTTGATCTAAAAAAAAACATGGACTGGCATCAGAACACTCTAGACAACCTAACCACTACAGTACGCATTAAAGGGACACTCCACACCATAACCACTACATCATATGGCACATTGATCCATTCTTTATTAGGTAAACCTGAAAGGGTTAACTGCGATTCAGCCGTGTAAATTCTTGCTAATCTGTTTTTGCGACAGTACTTCATTTTGCATTGCAGGGATTTTGTGGGATGTCAGGACTTGAGATTCTAACACTGGCATTAGAGAGAAGATTTTGGTTAAAGTTGGTGAAGACCAACGCTCGCTATTTCACTAAGAAACCCAAAGCTGCCAAACTGCAACTTGTAATTCCCTTAATTTCATTCCTATGGCTTAACACTCAACCTATGCAGGATTCCACATCATGTCCCTTTAAAGATTTGGAAAACAAACAAAGGTATAGCTTACAAGAAGGAATGGCCAAATCCTTTAACAAGCAAAGACTGTCAAGCTTAAAAAGTGTGTTTCTGGCTTGACAGCTAATTACACTTAGTGTGATCTTTAGGAAGTTTGGTTTGAGATGACCTTGTAAGCATCCCCTAGTCAGTGACACGGTAATTTAAGAATTGTTGTCACATCCCATTCAAAACAAAATAAACAGAAAACATCCAAATAGAATTCCTCATTGTGGACACTGTTTCTTGGCTTTAATGTGTGAAATTTAGTGAGCAGCCATGTGTAACTGTATCCACTGCTAGTAATGTGATATAATTGTAATTAAACTTTGAACTAACTGAAGTGCCTGTTCCGTGTTCTTCTTACATCTTCTTTTCAGCACTAAATTCTAATTAGAATGCAGAGTTCTCTGTGAACTGTCGTACATTACCTCTAGACATTGTTGCAACTGCAATCTTGAATTTGGTAAAAAAATAAATTTAAATTAAAAATAGCATCTTTTAATGTGTCATGTGAACATACCCTTTTAATCTCATCTGGCAATGCTTAAATATAATATATAATGTATATAACGTGTGTTTATTCAATCCATGAGAAAAGGTGGCTGAAGAACAGACCTCCTGTGAAGTGCTAATTGACTGTGAGAGCATGTTGATATTGTTAGTTTGCTTCCAGCCTATTAACCTGTGAAGAGCTTTGTGCTATTGCAAGCAATAATTAACACATCAATAAAAGGTTGTAAAACACCATTCTCTAAGATCACATCGAGGATCCTATAGGCACTTGGAAAGGTTCTGTAAGTTAGACTCCTACAGTTGTTGGGCTCAAAGTAAGAACATGCAACGATGGCCACGATCGTCAAGTGTGCAGTACAATAAATGTTGCCAAACCAGCACCAGAATATTAAATGGATCTAAACACTGACACTATTATTTGACTGCACACGATATAGCAGTAAAGGTCCGTAGAAACTAATGGAGGAAGAGGAGAACTGGACATACAATAGGGGATTAAGTTGATATTTTATTCATCCATCATATCATATTTACTCAAATCTAATGCGCAATCAAATTTTGAAACCTAAAAACGGAAAAATGTTTACACTGGCGAATGTAATGCGCATTTGTACAAGATGATAATATTATACAACATATAGGTCGATAAGCAAGAACCACCAACCTCTGACAGATGTGAAATTCACATTCACAGGACAAAGATGTGAAGTACCGCGTTACTGTACACAGAAACCAAGTCGTGCATCCCTGTTGCAGCAATGCAAATGTGAATTTCGCCCGCCGAATTTCACCAATGGCGAATTTGTGTTGTATACCCGTCGTACTTGAATCTAATGCTCCATTAAATCTAATGCGCATTCAAGTTTTGGAGACTTTATTTTGCCAATAAAGGTGCACATTAGATTTGAGTAAATATGGTATTTATCTTTGTTTTCATAGTGAGTAACTTAACTTAGTGAGAAAGCTAGTTTCTGTGAGTTTGCCAATTTTAGGTTACAGTGAATGTGTGATTTTGGTGACTTTTGAAAGGGAGAGGAGATGCCAGGGAGTTAGGATGATTTGGGACAGTTGTAGGAGGGCTACTCCAGGTAAGGAGTGAATCGGACAGCGTGTCAACAGCGTGTCGGGTTTATAGACACTCCTAAGAGCTTTGGCAAGATATGCGGGAAATGAAAGACATGCTCCCAAGCAGACATTGAGTGGCACACATAAATAATCTGCTCACAATTATAGTGGCCCATAGGAATGTGCTACTCTTCTTGGATAATATCAGTCAGCTAGAAGATTGGATAGAAGGTTGTTGAACCTGAAGCCAATGTTATTTCTCATGAGAGGACAGCGGAGGTCAACAAAGAGGGCAGACATGCCAGAGCCACCTATGGTGACCCACCATGCCCATAGTTATTCATTGTGAATAAACCTGAACGTTCCTTTCAATGAGCAATCAGTGCTACTATGGAATGGACCAGCGTTTCCCAAACCAGTCCTCAAGACCCACCAACAGTCCAGGTTTTGTTAGTATCTCCATTGGAATAAAACAGGGAAATGCATAAATCCTGGACTGTTGGTGGGCCACGAGGACTGGTTTGGTAACCACTGGAATGGACTGTTAGGGGTCGACTGAACCAAACAGATTTACAGAATATGGTGATGTAGATGGGTCTGGCTGGATGGCATTGGCCCATGCAGCCACAAACCATTGCGGTGGAGAATGAACATTCACATCCCTTATTCTCATTGCTGGAATACAGTATACAGCAGGTCTTAGTTGTAGTGCCGCACTATAGATTATGACCATGAGATCCCAGTTCATATATAGGCTATATGTGAACTGTAAGGCTACTAATGGTAATGTAAGGGGTATCTGTAGTAAAGTTGTAAATAAACTGGGAATTAATGAATGTGTGCTAAATCGAGTCTGGTCAGTAGAGGAAGTGTTTAATAATGTATTAAATTATAAGAGAGGCCTGCTTCAGAGGCTGAACATTCCCATGATCTGCATTAAATTGTATCTACGTTACTCATATAATGTGTCAGATATGCTTTGCATAGCTTTTACCCAATGTCTATTTTCAGCAAAACTCCATCTTGCAGAATAATACGTGAACATTCTTCCCATCTGTTCTAGTTCCCTCCCTCCAATAACATTTCCAATTTTATTACCTGTTTTTCACTAGGACTATTGGAAAGCAGTCCTCTATCTAGGCTCTATACACTGAGCCACACTGTATGCTGTATTGCTGCATGGAATGTGGTCAACTTAGGCAGCTTGACTCCACAGCATGGACTTTGAAACATGGATGTTTAAACAAAGAGAATGGAAAATCTATTCCCGCTTTCCTGAAAATCCAATGGAAACCAGAAAGACATTAACATCTATGCACGAATGATTAAACATCATGCTTATCAGTCATGCCTGTCTGTTACAGAAAATTCAAGCTTGAATAGCAAAGAACTAATGATTAAATTCTGTTCTGTCAAGACTAAATGAAAATATTGTCATTATTTGCATATTGTACATTTTTCACATACTTTGTATTTTTTTTTAGACGTCATTGTCACGTTGGCTATAACCAGGTTTGCCTTATAATCCCACCATATGTTCATTTATATTCCTGTCTCCAATAAATGTGCAGAGATGTTTACCAGGATTCTGGTGATAAAGTATTATATTGTGTTTGGAGTTTCCATATCAACTTCTAAAATTATAGTCCAGAGTGGTGCAATCTACAATGTCTGTGCTTTGGGTTTGCGTCATAACATGATCTACCCTTAAGGAATGGGTAATAATGCAGGGATCGCCTCTGTGCAGTCTGTGGACCATAAGCTCTGTTAAAGCTGGGCCGTACATGTCACAGTTCACCCAAGACTAGTGAGAATTACACTTCCAAGCAGGGACTATTCAATGACTGAAACAGCTGCCATTCAAGACTGTAACTCACTAATCTTAGGCAGCCCTGGGACATGTATGCTCTAACAGTAATGCCCCCCCACCCCACCCCCATCACCCCTAAAATATCCTAACACACTAAACTGCACATTTACACCTTTACACTACACTATCACTAAATATTACCCTGTCATTATCTTAATACTCACATTAACATTAACCTAAAAATATTCTATAATTTACTCAATACTCATTTTATCCTATGCATGTACAGTATCTAATATCTGCAACACTCCATTTCCTCTCTCTGATCACCACCTCTTATCATTTGCTCTCAAGTACACCCTCCCCCAACAACCTCAGCCTAACCCCCCTCAACCTAGGAGGAACCTTAATTCTCTTGACCTCCAGCAGCTGTCAGCTGATATTGATTCACAACTGCTATCCATCCTTTCCCTCTCCTGTCCCTCACTGGCCATTTCCACATATAACACTACCCTCACCGCTGCCTTGAACACTGCAACCCCGCTCTAAACATGCATTTAGATATACAAATCAACAACATTAAAGACCAACTTATACCTGTAGTTAATTGCACAGAAATTGACAATGCATTAAAAATGGTCAAGAACAATGTTGAAAAAGTGGAGGAGGATACACTAATAATTAAAAAGATTCCAAAGTTCCAAAGAGACCAAAATGATTACGCTCTTAACCAGGTTAGATCTTTCTCCCGGAGAAAACATCCTTACTATCATGACAATTCCCATCATGATAAATTCAGTTATTCCACCAGAGCACCTGATCGTAAGTTTCCAGATGCCTCTAAAGTTAGATCACAAAACAATACACAACCTACTCCTAAGAAATTTGGAAAACCAATTTATCAAAAGAACCATAGCAGAAGATCACCATCTCCTGCTCCTTCGCCAGGTTGGCCAAAGATCAAGAGTAGGAGGGGTACCAACACTCATTTTGAACAACCACTACCTCGGTTTTCTCAGACGAATAGATATAGAATTTTGTCTGAGGATTCATCAGGAGATAGATCCCATGAGAACCATCCTTCTCTCCCCTCATCCACTACTCCTTTTTTGGAGGCAAACCCCTTCCCAAGAACCGAACGTTCAACTCGTTAGAGGAATTGTGCTCGAGCGGAAGGGGAATTAGAGCCGGAAGACTCATTAAAGGAAAGGAAAAGAGGAAGAATAAACACTTAGGTGTGGTTAATTTATCTGATAAAGTTTTAACTAAAGACCAATTAGGAGTTTTAAGTAAGGGACTCAAATTCACTCCCACTTGTTTTAATGATTCTTTTAAAACATTTATTGACCTACAAAAATGTAATGGTATGAAGGCTGCATTACAGCAGCAGCAGGTGTCTCAGGACCCCCAGAAGACTTCCATGTAAGGCCAAGATCTTCAGAATTTAACAATCACATGCAAGTCGCTGCAGTAAGCAATGATGAAAATTTACAATAAAGGCAAAAGCAGCACATTGTACATAAAATAGAATAAATGTAAAAGCAGACAAGAGGTAAAGAAGTCTGGAAAGTTAAAGAGGAAGAGGATAGAATTATAGTTCAATATTGCTTAAAATAATGTAATACAACAAAATAAATTTACTAACAATGTTTATAGGTAATCTTAGTTATTGAATATTATTCCAAAAATAATCCAGATCTTCTTTTTATCTCTACAATATCTCATAAAATAACCTGTTTAAGCAAAGATGTCTTTATTTTAATTGTTTTTATTAAAATAAGTCTTTCCTCTGCTATAGACAAAGTCACAATAATTCCCAAACTCCACACTGGTGCTTGGTTACATATCCTGTTATCAAATGTGGACCCTAATGGAGGGGTAGTAGGGTAGCTAGAGCAGTGGTGATACAATGTAAATCTTATACAAGGCATCCAGTAACTGCCAAGGAATACCAAGTACCTAACTTTCAAGTATATAAATAAGAGGTTCTGTTTTCTGCTTTAGTCTTCTTTGTTTTGCCTCAAATCTATATATTTGTGTGTCAGTTTCCTGTGTGTGTAGATGTGTGTGAGTGTCAGTGTCCTCTGTATGTAATTGTGTGTATCGGTGTCCTCTGTGTGTGTTATATTTAAATTTTGTGACTTTTATACTTCAGAGTAATAATACACTCCTTACATACACAATATTCACATTATGGAATATATATTCTTAAAATATTATTTACTACCTTTAATCAGGCTTGTTCTCCAATATGGGATTAACTTTAATGTCAGTGTGTACACATTTCATCTGGAAATAGGGGTAACTGAGAAAATTATTTTAGACCTGCAGTGGAACTTCTCTGTAAATGGTTGCGAAACACTAGTTTAGAGTAAAAAACATATTTTTTAACGATTGCAAACTTAAGTCAGTGTGTAAAGAGAACAATAATGTAAGCTGTCATGCTGAATGCCATGTATAATGTACATAAAGAGAAACCCTTGGCAACTATTTACATGCTATTAATAATTATAAATCCCTGAACTAGGCACACAGCAAAATGTCAGGCATGTGCCTAGTAAAAACCATTTTCCCTGAATTTCGGTGCAAATCACACTGTTCTTGCCTTTAGACAGTTACGTAATTGGTATTTATAGTAATTAAAGGTTTATTATTGCATTGTAACAGGTGGAAGTGAATCTGATACTATCTAATTTCTTAACTACTAAATAAAACATCTTCTGGGAAGTTTACTTGGGGGAGAGATTTTTATTCTTTTAAGAAATAAGCATAAAGAATAAAAAAATAAAAAAATAAAACTCATGGCTAAACATGGATTGTATGTATATACAAGAAAAGGCAAAATAAATTATATGAAAAAAGAGGAGGAATAGAAAAGCCAAAACGAACCTGTGATCCCATGCCAAGGCCAAGTTCTCACCTGCAGCCTGATCTGCCTTCAATGGCATCATTTCTCCAGATGTACTAGAGGCAGGGCCAAGGGAGGATTTGGGGTGGGATGTGCCACCATTGGCGGTCCGTCACCAGTATACTACGCATGCTGACAATGGAAGCCATTCATACTCAGAATTTATATTGACAGCCTGGAACAATGCTAATTATTGTGGAATTAAACCTCTGGCTGCAAAGTGTTTTGTGGACTTAATTTACTGAACTCATAAAATAAAGAGTCAAGTTCTAAGATGAATTAGGTGCATCTCTAGTTCATTTAAAGTGCACTTGTCTTGTATGTGACTAGAGGCAGGCACTGGGAGAATGTACAAAATTGTTATGGAGATAAAATTAGTGAAACTCTTTGAGAGTATTATAACTATGGAACAATTAACAGATTTTTTTTTATCCCCTCCCCCCACCCCTCTAGAACATTCACTCTTGGATTCCTCCTCTTTAATATACCTGTCCATTGGAGAACCTCAAGGTTCTGTCTGGCTCTTCTACTCTTCTCTATTTATACTTCTTGTCTAGGTGAGCGTAACAACTACGGTTTCAAAAGTCAGTTTTACCCTGATGACACATATCTATCTTTCCACCCGTGATGTCTTTCCCTCTGTCCTTTCTAATGTCAGTAACAGCTTATCTGGCATTTCTTCCTGGATGGCCTTTTGCCACCAAAAATGCAACGTGTCCAAGACTGAGTTCCTTCTCTCCCCCCTCTAGTTCTACTCTAATTTCTGATTTCTCTACTATCTCCCCATCACACCAAAACTGCTGCCTCAGAGTTATACTTTACTCAAATCTATCCTTCATCCCCTACATCCAGTCACTTTCTTCATCCTGCCCATACCATCTACGCAGTATTTCCAAAATGCGTCCATTTCTGAGAGCTGACACCACTCCCATGTTCTTTCATATCTCGATTACTGCAATAACCTACTAACTGTCCTTCTCTGCCACCTCTCCCCCCTTCAGTCCATCCTGAATGTCTCTATCAGGGTACTCTACCTTACCCATAGTTCTGTATCTGCTGCATGTCTTATTCACTGACTCCTTATTTACAGCAGAATTAAATACATTCTCATGCTGACCTACAAAGCAATAATGCTCCACTATACCTGTCTTTACTAATCAACAAATATACTCCAGCCTGCCCCTAACATCTGCTCCCTGTCCCCAATTCTTTTACTTCTTTCATTATTTTCCTTTTTCTACTTTAAGACTTATACCTACTTTCTTCTCTCTTGAGAGAACGTGCAGGACAGAGCCACACTTTTACTCACCTACCCAATGTTGGCTAGTTACTCAAGTTAGTTTAATACCTCTCAGAAGTCTTTCACTCGCTATGGTGCTCAATGAATAATGTTACGTCTCCTGCTCCCTCCTTTAATTTTGTATGTCTGTGATTACTTGTTTGCTAATCGTGTTTTTAATTTGTGTCTTCAAACTAAATTAAAGATTGTTAAAAAAAAAAACATTGCAGCTTTAGCAGCCGTCACTCGACTGGTCAGGCTTTCCACGCATTTTTGGAGTGTTTCTGTGGGAATATTTGCCTATTCATCCAGTAGAGCATTTGTGAGGTCGGGCAGTGATGTTGGATGAGAAAGCTTGGCTCACAATCTGTGTTCCAATTCATCTCCA